TAGCGATTTCACTATAAAAGACTAAATTACCCATATCTCAAATTTAAGTATATAAATAATTTTTTTATATATTTCAATAAATAGAATTTATATAAATATATATACATATGACACTATGAAAAAAATAACGTGAGTTTTAAGAATTATATAACATAAAAGTACATATAGATGGTTTAAATATGATAAATTATATTTAAAGTATCATATCAGATACACCTTACGAAATGAATAGTCTAAATTATTATTTTGTAACATTCATCAATGATTAAGTAAGTATTCCAAGATTTACTTTCTTTGTTAAAAATATGAAGTGATCGCCGTCTTTCAAAAATTTATTATTTATATTGGACCCATTTTTATCTCACATTAAAATATTATTAACAGACTTTAAGAGTGAATATATGAAGCTTGACTTTCATTATTTTCTTCAAAACAAAAGAACTTTTCTTAGAGATAATGCCTCCTATAACACTAAAAAAATTTGAATTACTGATCTGCTCAATACCCAAGCTTTGCTCTGGACGAATCCCTTGAAAAGAGGAAGGTCGGAGACTTGCGTACATGATCATGGGGCTAAATTGGACAATATGCTTTGAAAACTCATTTTGGTAACGAAGAAAGCAAGTAGCAGAGAAATTTTGTAACTACTCAAAAACCGGTGTATTGTAAAATAAATTATGGATAAGTTGTGTTTCCAAACAAGAGAAAATTATGAATAATAACTTATTCAACCTCAAAACTGAGAAAATAAACTGAATCAAATGAAGCCTACAAGTGTCATTGTCCTCAGTAAGCTCCTCCAAAAAACTCACTAGACCAGCTCATGTCTTGAGAACCACCCACCTAAACAAAATCCTCTCACCTTCTACAGCTATCTACAATCAAAGTCATCTACCTACTACAAACATCCCCAATCAAGATACAAGAAGCACACACCTTACAAACCAATGATTGCAACATCACTATGTTATCTTGTTCCTTGTTCACAATTACTTCCACCAAGGGGGACTTGCATCTCATGCTATAGGACTCAAATATCTCTTCTAGATACTTGCCTTCACAAACTCACCCTACGTGTTGGCACCCACATGTCAGAATACTCCTTACCTATCACATCATATACTATTTTTTTTTCTATTTATTCAAGGTGTAGTCATTCCTGCAATCGTAAGAAACTTTTAAATAAGGGATAAAGAGACATATTTTGGATGATCATGTTGTTGAGAGTATTTACATAGGAACTATAACTTTCTTCTTCATGCTCACTAATTTTCTGATAGGCAACACATGTAGATATCAAGTATTTCCTATCAATCTTCGGAAAACAACGAGTTATATCTACCAAAATCCACAAAACCATAAAAATAGTAGATAATTTGTTTTTTTTTTATGGAAGGGAAAGGGAAATGGAAAATAGCAAGATACACTTGATCCTCTATTCGAGAGGAGAATCGATTTCTCCCAAATCTCTAAACGCCGCTAGAGCCCAAAGAAAATCTAAATCTAAGAGATATCAAATTACAGTCAAATTCAAGATGCCCTAACCCTAGGAAAATAAAGTATTTAATGCATAAAAAATAAAAGAAAATTCCTAAACAATCCCTACATTCAAATTCCCCTCTTAATTCCCCCGAAAAATTTTCCTATTCGGCTCACACAAAGTTTGCGGCTCTCGCAGCATCCGCAAGAGGCGGAACAACTCCGTTGTTTCGCCCGTAAGTTGGTCCCGCTTGGACCGGTCCAGTGGACCGGTCTAACAATACTTTCCTCCCAAAGATCCACCTTATCCGCAAGGTGGAAAGAAGATGCCCTTCATTCCTTCTTCATCAAAAACGATAAGAACTTGAAGATTCGTTCATTACACCTGTGCCCCAGTTTATACCTCTCATCACATCTAAAACAGAGCCCCTTCCCCTTCTTCTCCTGTAATTTTGTCTCTGTGAGCTTCTTGAAGTTGTCCCCAGGTCTTCCTTCTGTAGTCTTTTCCTTCGAAGTCCCCCGAAGAGTATCCGGTGTTGGCTCCTTGGATTTCAATAAGGTGGTGGTCATCCTATACGAGCCTCCTGAGCAGCCGCCTCCCATCTCTCCATCCAGGTGCCTCTGATCTTCTACCAATTGAGCTAGCACCATCATCTCTCCCAAGTCACGAGGCCTCATTACTCTAACCGCTGCTCGAATCTCTGGTGTCAATCCATTCATGAAGTTTCCCTCTAGCTCTATCTCAAAAAGGCGGACCAATCGGCTAACAAGGTATTCAAATCTCTACCGGTACTTCGTCACTGAACCCTCATATGTCAAGGCAAAGAACTGCTCGTAAATGTCTCCTCCCCTACCAATTAGAAAACATGCTACCAAACAATCATTGAACTCCCTCCAACTTCATATGATTGACGCATGTCCCTCCACTGATACCAAGACAAAGTCTTCCCTTCTAAATCTAGGCCCGCCGCAGTCAGTCTCTCCTCCTCTGTCAGCTCATTAACGATGAAATATCTTTTTACCTTGTAGATCCGCATCCTCCTCAAAGATTGGCATCTTCAATTTCCTCACCCTCAAGTCACACCCATTTCCCCTAAATCCTCCTTAACCTCCCATTCCTTGAAGCGGATGTGCTTCCCAATTGTCACGATCTTCCCAAACCTTTGATCAAAATCTCCTCTTCTTCTTTCAAAATCAGCACCCCAACGATCGAAATCATCCCCTATCCTTACAAATTCAGCACCCCTTCTTGCATAGCCAATGCTCATCTCTTCCCTAGAAATTGATTCTAGAGGAGGCATTCTGTCTTCCCCCTCCAGGATCTCCACTTCTGGTTTTTCCCTTCCCCTAGACGTGTTAGGGTTCCCATTTCTTCCATGGCCGCCGGTAGTTTCATTTGCTTCAGACGTCACCAATTTGGTTTTGGCTTCAAGCAATTTCTTCAACATGTCTTCCACCGCAACAAACTTTTCCTCAATCTTTTCATTGACTAATGCAATCTGACTTTGAAAATCAACAATGTTTTTATCAAAATCTGCTTTGAGTTGCCCATGCTCTCCCTCCAAAACTTTCACTTTCCTTCCGGCCATTGATTCCCCTTCGATCAATGTGATCTGATACCAATTTGATAAGAAACACTTGTAGATCTCAAGTATTTCCTATCAATCTTCGAAAAACAGCGAGCTTTATTTACCAAAATCCACACAAACCACAAAAACAGTAGATAATTTGTATTTTTTAATGAAAGGGAAATGGAAAAAAGCAAGATACACTTGATCCTCTATTCGAGAGGAGAATCGATCTCTCCCAAATCTCTAGAGGCCACTAGAGCCCAAAGAAAACCTAAATCTAAAAGATCTCAAATTTCAGCCAAATTCCAGATGCCCTAACCCTAGGAAAATAAAGTATTTAATGCATAGAAATCAAAGGGAAATCCCTAAACAGACCCTACATTCAAATTTTCCTCTTAATTCCCCCAAAAAGCTTTCCTATTTAGCTTCCGCAAAGCTTGCGGCTCGAGCGGCATCCACAGGAGGCGGAACAGCTCCGTTGTTTCGCCCGTAAGCCGGTCCCGCCTGGACCGGCTGGACCGGTCTAACATTTCCCTCACTTGGTTCTCTAGCTTGTCAATAATATGTTATTAAGATTTGGTGTCATCCACAAAAAAATTTGAATCCAACACCATCTATCACGTACTTGATTGAGAGCGCCCATTAACTAGGCCTAATATGGGACACTCTTGGGGCCTTCGTGATAGATGATAGTGTGTCTCTCGAGAGTTTAAGTTCTCATTGGATATTTCGATACAAAGAGAAGATATGGAATCTTGCTTTGATATGATGAAGAGATACTCTTGTTTTTTCTTATTACTGTAATATGAGTTGCAAACGATATTTACAATCTATGCAATAGATATACAAGGAAACAGAATGTAACATTATTCTAGGAAGGATTTAATGTGGTAAAATATAATAAGAATAAATATAAAATTATTCCTAGATTAGTAGATTATTGGACTGAATCTAATTCCAAATTGGTGACTAATTTAGAGAGAATCAAGACTATGCATTTATTCGACAACCTTCCATCTACAGTCATGCTAGCATGTTCTATTTTGGGCCTAGGCGTGCTGATTCATTTCCTATGTCAGTCCATATTGGGCCTTTATATTATTTGGTTTTATAATAAGTATAAAATAATATAAGATATAAAAATAACGGTAAGTTTGAATATGGTAGCAAGAATGGACATAGTGATAGGCATGAATATTCATTTTAGTCTCTTTTAGTCTTTCTATGTGCTTGAAGATCTAATTTATGATGACTTGTTATACATGAAGAAGAGATTCAATACCAATGGTGGATTCAAAGAGAAGGATTGTCTCTGGACTCCTCTTCTTCTATAACATTTTAAGAAAGTAAGATTTGTGGAGAAGACTAGCGCGACCAAGGACTGCTTCTGAAGGTCATCTATATATTTTTTATTCTCTTTGTCTTTTAGCCGAGCCCACGTAGTAGGACAAAGGCTTGATGTTATTATTGTCTTTATATTTTTCTTTTCAATTTCAAGAAAAACAGGTTCTCTCATTTTCACCCAACATGAAAATGCCAATTCATTCTTTGAACTAACCTTGAAATTGTAGCAGTCTCAATAAATTTCACTTCCATTATTACTAGCTTTTAGTACTGTGAAATCTATGCAAGCAATGAAAACAAGTAATCTACTCATTTACCTTACATCAAATACATAAATCAACCTTCCATGAAGCATGTATATCAAAAAACATAAATCAAACCTTCCATGAAATTAAATGTGAGAGAACATAGAACTAATAAAAATAAAATACAGGGTCACTTCAGAAGAAGTGTTTTGATGTATATCTTTAAACCTTACCTCCAAATTATATTATTCTTAGCTACGGTCTTCATGACAATAAACATAGCAGAAACCATTTAGTCATAAAATAAATTTCTACTTTCAAAGAAAGAAAACGTAGGAAATGAATAAATAAATAAAATTACCCATAAGGTTGAACAGACGAAATGGCGACAACTCGATCTTAATCTTTGGCAAGGAAACAAAAGCCCATGATACAGCACCAATATACGGTTCAGTTGGTATTAATCGTAGTTTAACCCATAGTTCCCCATCAATATCAAAATCACGAACACCAACAGGAACAACAATGGGGATTATACCAAACTTTAAGGATAAGGAGAGCAACATGCGAGCTCCACCAGTATAACGAAGGCCAATATGGTACCTGCCAAAAAAAATAGACCACTCAGTCGATTGATGGGATTTATCATATGCTCTTGATAAAGAAAAATATCAATCGTTAGATATGTAGTAATTTTCCTATCTTTATAACCACAAATGCTAAACATGTGATTTTATTTAATTATATATACAAAATCACCGTCGTCGTCACATCATTAGCATTATCTTGACTATTTGGATTTATGAATCCTCGTTCTCGATATAAAAAACAAATGTTTAAAACATCCTAAAAAAGAATAATAAGTTCATGAAATACAAATCAAAAGTATAGATCGACTTTGCTAGGAAATAACAATTACATATCATCAGCAGTAGCAGCATCATACATCAATGTTAGCCATATCCTCATTATTAGGGGTCAACATTATGAATCCTTATCCAATAATTTTTTATGAGTACAACTTGAGGTATTAACTTTACCATGCTTATGTATTTTCACATAATTTTATCATTATTATGTTTGGTCAACTTTTCTTTTCCTTTTACAACTTCACGTTAATTAATACAAATTGCTTTACTGATTCATTTTATTTCCTATATTTTACATGCCCAAATGAGTCAAATCTATTTTCCAACATCTTATCATCAATAATTTATAATCTACCATTCTTATTGTTGAATCCAAATTTGTTTGTGGGTGACACTAGATCTTCATAGAAATGAATGACAGAAAATAAGAGAAAGAAGGAGATATTAAAAAGAGTTTAAGAGAAAAACTTTGGGATTTCATTATTGCTTATAAAGCATAAACATTCCCATATATAACTTAAGTGGCCTAAAATCATGCTTTGTCCCCCTATATATAGGTTTAGGTCAAGATATAAGTTTAGATGTATGACTACATATAAATAAAATTACATAGCAAGGCTTCACAATAGTTTGATGTAAAATGAATAAGCCTAGTTTGCTTGTCGCTTATCAAAGTATATAAATAACTCATGATGAGTTTCTAGAGGTTGCAAGTAGATTTAGATGTTTGGCCGACTTCAATTATTGAGTTTGATGAGCAAGTGGAACTCTTCTTTGGACAAATTCAAATGACGAGTCCAGTGGACAAGTTGAACTCTTCTTTGGACGACTTTAACTAATGAGTTTAATGGATGACTTGACCTCATCCTTGGATGACTTCAATTAATGAATTTAATGGATCGGTTGAACTCTTCCTTAGGCAACTTCAATTCTTGATAAGTTCAATGGACGACTTATATATTTTGGATAGCTTAAATTCCTTATTACTTCAACATATGAGTTATTTGGACAGCATCAATTGACGGAGTTAAGATCTTCCTTGGACCTCTTCAATTCTTGGCAAGTTCAATGGATGAGTTGAACTCTTCATTAGACGACTTAAATTGATGAATTCAATGGAAAAATTAAATTCTTCCTTGATTGAAATAAATTATTGGATAGTTCAATCGAAAAATTGAACTCTTTTTTGAATGATTTCAATTGGCAAGTAAAAAGGTCTTAGTCGACTTTAAGTCTAACATGAATTAAGGGCCTCTACCAACTTCAACTCTACGATAAATTTAAGGTCGCATTCTTACTTTATTAACCAAACACAATTGATTATGGGTGTAAAATGGTTCACCGAGATTTATGACTCTTTTGTGAAACCAAAAAAATTGAGAAAAATAATTTTTTTAAGTTTATATGCCCTACAAAGTTGTCGCATTCATTGTGATTGATTTTCCACATAAGTGAACATCAATGAATGCTTTAAACATTAACCTCTAGGGATTCTAAAAAGAAAGGAATTTAATAGTTGATAGAAATGAACTGAGTTGTAATTAATGGACAAAAATCTATAACCTTTCGTACACCAAAGAAATTAGCAAGGCAATGTCACCTAGCCAGACAATCTTTACATTAAACCAATCATTGAAGTGCATTTGATACTTTTAGTCGGGACACAAATCCAATGAGTGTCTAAATCACAAGCAAGTTCAATAAATGATTATATGACTGTACACCACCATGTCCCTCAGTAGTGATGCAAGCAAAAATTTGGGAAAAGCATCAAATGTTTGCAAGCAAAAAACAAAACCTTACTAGGAAATAGAAATGACACCAAAGAACAAAAACAACAACTTTATAACATATAAAAAAGACACTTACATTTTTTATGAAAATAAAAACGAACATCTTACAACTCTTGACGCTTACAAACACAAACATAAACAAAAACTCCTAAAGTTACATTTCTTTGAAAAGAAAGGTACTAATGGGGTGGATACTTGCGGGAAGAAGAATGAGATTAGAAGCCGAGACGAAGAGCGGAAAAGCTTGCAAGTCTTCCCAAGAAGTAGAAGAAGAAGTGGAGGACATAACTCGCAAGCTATTCCGAAGAAACCCGCAAGTTCTATCCAAAAATTATCATCATAACTAACTTTTTTCTTTGCCAATACATCCAATATTTATAGGGAAAAAGCTGGCAGCCAAACAACCACAAATTCCCTCATTTAAGCTCATTAAATTCAAGTAAATGGAAGGCCAAAAGGCACCACAACTGACCCCAAATTCTGCATAGAAAATAGGAAGAAAAGCCACGGGAAACCCAGCCAGGGAGCCATGGGAAAGCAGCCAGAGAGGGACCCAAGGAGCCAACACAGAAAACGAGGCAGAGGAATCATGGGAAAGCAGCCAGGGAGAAAACCCAAAAGGCAACTAGCCCACAACAATTATTCACAAGGAAGAAACCAAGGAGACACAAGAATGGGAAGAGAAAAGGAGCAATAATAAGAGAAAATGAGCAATAATTCCACTCCAATAATGAGCTATTCAGTAAAGAACTTTTCATAATAATGAGCTAAAGTTTTAGCTCAAGCATTTATGACCTAAAACCAAGAAGATCCCAAAATTTCAGCACAAAACCAGTGCAGCCAAAGCTCAACCCGAGAGCTGCCAAAGCTCAACCCGAGAGGCAAAAAACAGCCTAAAGCTTGCCTACATCAGGTAGCTGCGGTAATGTAGTGCCACAAATTTTTTAAATGCAATATACCATCAATAACAAAGTATGGAAACTCCTAATTGATAGTGGCTACACTAAAAATCTGATATCCAATGTCGTTATTAAATCATTTAAACTGCACATAACCAAGCAACCTCAACCATATAAGATCAGTTGGAAGTACAGAGTAAAAATCCTTGTATCGGAAATGTGCCTAACATTTCCAATTGAAAAGAAATTCATGTGTGAGGTTATATTCAATTTGTTAGATATGGATGTCTGCACATTATCCTTAGAAATCCATAGTAGTTCAATATATTGGTTTTATACTACTGTTAAGCCAATTCATACTCTTTTAATTGAAAAGGATACAAGACTTTCCTATTATCCTTGCCAATTGAACCATTACAGCCAATTAGTCATGGCTCCTCAACTCTCACAATAGTTTGGAGTAACACATTTTAGCTAACAACATAGAGTCGTATGTTATGTTCACTTTAGTGATCCTTGAAACGAATGATCAAATTCCTATGTGCCTACAACAATATACATCTTGCATAAGTGACTCGCTAATAAAATCCCAGTCGAGCTACCTTCTCAGATTCCTTCATTTCAAATTGTCCAGCATCAATTTGATTTCATTTTGGAAGTCACATTGTCGAGCCTTCCTTATTACTAAATGAGCCTCACATAGCATTGCACACTCCAGGAATTTGTTGATGACCTATTGAACAAAAACTTGGAACAACATAGCCTTAGTCTTTAAATCATACCACCATTACCTATTTCCAAGAAAGATACTTGGCGCGTGATGGAAATGCTATCACTAAAATTATAATCAATTTCATTTTCACCATGCCAAGTTTTGAAGATGTGTTGAACAAACTTTATTGTGGTAGAATTTTTTCAAAATTAGATATATGGAGCACTTATCATAAAATAAGAATAAGCTCGGGAGACAAATGAAAGATATCATTTAAAACACTTGAGGGGCCTTATGAATGGAAGGTCATGCCCTTTGAGCTATGTAATGCCGTCATACATTTATGTGGCTCAAGAATGACAGATGTAAATCATTTTTGGTTCTTCTTTTATTGTACATTTCAATGACATCTTGGTTCATAGTAATTCCTTGGATGAACACATCAAAGAACATTTTCTTGACTCCCTAGGAGCATCCATTTTTTCTCAACCAATCTAAATGTGTATTGGTCACAAATAGTATGCATTTCCTGTGCTTCATAAGTATTGCCAAGAGATCGATTTTAACCCTAAGAAGGCAGCTGCAATTAAAGATTGACCTTCAATGCCTACAACTACAAAATCCACAAAGATATTTTATTTTATATTTGCATTAGGCCCTCAATGCCTTCTACAAAGAATATGCATTACAAAATGCAAACTCACAATCTCAACACTTGTATTAGCCTGCAAAGTAAATACATGAACCTGATTTTCTGTTAACAACCGGGTCGAGTTGACATAGTTCAAGTTATAGAAAAAAAAATATAAATGCCAAATTGGTAGCTATGTTGAAAGCAAATATCAATCTAATGGACCTTACTTTCAAAAATGCTCTCAAATCCTTATGCAAATTATTTTATGCTTAATTCAAGAAAAAAATATTAAAATATCAAATAAATTCATGAAATACAAATTTATTCAAAGCAAAATCTACCGCCAACAAAGTAAAAGAAAAAGTCATAAACTCTCTAGAACTGTTTGTTGAGAGTGATAAACTTACGAATAATCTCAACTCATAAAAAGCAGATGTCTTCTCGAGCGTATCGCTATGATTCATTCTCAAACATAGCAATAATGTTCCACGTAACATCTAATCGGTGGTCTTACCTTCAAATGGCACCATAGGTAAACGATTATGATCGAGATCTTTTGACCATGTGATTTTACCATAAAAGAATATTATTAAATTATGAACAAAGCTAGTACCCATAAATTCTTCAACAATAACAATAATAACATCAAACCTTTATCTCACTACATGGGGTTGGCTACATGAATCTTTTGTTCTCTATTGTCTCCTAATAAAAGTTAATGTTTCATTTAAATTTAATAAACAAAGGTCATTGATAATAAATTCTAACTAAGTCTTTTTAGGTCTACCTATACCTCTACCTTTACTAACATAGGTCAAATTTAATACATTTATTCTCCTAACTAAATCATTGGAAGGCCAATGTTTATATGACCAAGCCCACAAATTTCTCAACGGCTAAAAAAATCTTGAGTAAATAAACATTGACCTATGATCTACAAGTGAATGAAAAAACTCATAGTTGTCGACAAGAATTTTTCGGTCAAGTTAAATCGACTACCTCTGTCAACTAAATAGACTAGGGTTCATGACAACCCAAGATGATGGAACCATTGAATTTATATACTCATCATCATTTTCCCACACCATTCCCTTTATTTCTTTTGAATGAACTTTTAATCACGCTAAACTTTAAATTTAGTGAATTTTACTATTTCAAAGCAGTAGAAGAATAACTTTAAATTTAGAATTTTAATATTTCAAATAAATAGAAGAATAATTTATATTTCAATGTGCATGAATATATGAAAGTGTGATTACCACTTTCTACCATTGTCACTTTTGACAAGCAAGATTGTTGTTTATTACTAGAACTCATTTTTGAGGCACCAAGGAAACAAGCTTCTCGTTCTTCGATTCATTAATTGAAAAAAGAAACTACAATCCAAAAATACATAACTAATAATTATGATGGCGTTAAAACAAAGATTCCATTAGGTTTTATTACGAGGCAAGGTCTTGCAAGAAAATAGTTAGATCTTTTCATCTAAGTTGGGTTTATTCAACCTCATTGCAAACCATGAATTAGGTTCATAGATGGTTAGAAGGTAAATAGATAAAATTCAAAATCAAATGGAGGCCACAATGGAGAATAGTAAACTCATTGTCGAGTTCAAGTAGCCTAAATCTAATTAGCGATTGTATTCAGCCTAATGTGTAAGATTATTCATCTAAAAAACAAAGTGAATTTGCTTAAGAGTCAAAACTACTCGTCAACCAAAATCGAACAACGCACTTCATTCAAAGTTACACTATGTAATTAGAAATTTATAAGCTAGCTAAGCTTACTCTATTTATAGCATGTTAATCTTTGCTATATAAATCAAATTTCATTATTAAAATATAGCAATTCTTGTAATATTGAAACCCAACTCAAATCAATAAATAGAATATTAGAGGATGAACATGACAAATTCAATCAATTATATGTGCATTGTACTTTCATTTTGTTAGCAAGGTACTGGGGTCACATACAAATTTAGATCAAATAGTAATGAGTGAAGCTAGCATGTAAGAAATATTGTTTTGAGGGAAGAATAAAGTCTAGGTATCGTGGTGCTACAATTAACCACCAATCATGAAACTGAGTTCAGCAGAAACAAAAGGACATGGTTGAATGAAATGCTCATAAACACGACAAAATCTTACTGCAAATCATTGACACGCCTAGAAGTCCTCCGCTCCACATTCCTAACCGACAAAGGCTCATCGCCTAGTGAAAACTGTTTAATTTCCACCCTCTGCACATAACCAGGCTTCCGGAGATTATCAATCACAGGCTGAAGAAGCCCCATGATCCAATTCTCAATACCAGGCCGATAAACTTTCCACAGCTTTCCCAACACCATATTAACCCACTCCACAGACTCTTTCCTCTGTAGATCCTTCTCAAGAAACATGGAGAAGCTGGTTGGCACCTGCGGCCAAGTCCCTGCTCGAGATTCCCGAGCCGATTTACTCGACCTCCTTGAGGTCCACAGCTTATCAAACACAACCCCGATGAAAAAGAATAGCACGAAGAAACCCACAATATTTCTATTGATGGGAGGCGAAGGGATTGGATGGATGACCCCAAGCTGCGATCTCAGCTTGTTCACGAGAGGATCCTCAGGATAACTCGTAAAATTGGCCGAATCCATCTGCACAAGCTCGGAGCCAGCTACCGCTGCATCCTCCCGGTAGCCACCAGCTCCGCCAACCTCTTCGGAGTATTTCTTGGCGACCAACAGCCTCGGTGTCCTGGAGCTCCTCCTCGCCGAGCTTAAGAGCACGGGATGGGCAAAACTAAAGCTCGAATTCCAAGCTTTCCGGCACACTAACAAGCATCTCCAATTCCTTATGTAAGCATCACCGGATAGAAAACCGAGGAGTAATCTCCTCCGCCGCCTCCAGTGGCTATGCCAAACGATTCCACCGGAACATTCACTACCCAATTTGCAGGGGCATTCTACGGTGGAGCCGTAGGAGACCAAATCCCGCAGCGAGAGCATCGCAGGGGCAATGCATGAAAGGCTAAAAGAAGCGAATAAGGGAGATGTTAAGGGGCTGTTTGGTATCGGATTTACAACCGGATTTAAGCGGGATTTCGCTAAATCCTGCCAAACGGTTTTTGTGCGCACCTTAAATCCCGGCGCTCGATAAATTCCGAATTTAAGGGATTACGGCCAGGGCAAGAAGTGGAGCGGAACTATGCTTAAGGTTGAATGGGGGAAGAATAAAAGAGAGGAGAGAAAGGGGCGCAGTAGTTGGAGAGAAGATAACGGGAGGGTGCGAAGGCCATATCGGGCCCTCTCTGTACCGAAAGGGCAACGGTTGCCGCGAGTGCTGCTTTGTTTTGGACGCACGTGCACGTAGGACTATAGTCCGCGTGCGAGAAATTTATGCTTCCACGGTTTTTTTTTTTTTTTTTTCCTCCTAGCTTTTTAGTAAAAAAAAATTGGTACTAAAGAAATAATAAAAGCATTTGAAATAAAGTTTTTAACCTCCGCTGCGGTTGCCCGTGGAGCAGCAATTTGCCTGCCACGCAATCTCGGGCCTTGACCGTGGAAAAGATAAACTTTATATGAAATTATTTTTTTTTTCAGTAATTATTTATGAATTTATTGAATTTAAAAATATTCATAAATGATATATGATCTTACTAGCATGAAATCTCAAAAGATAATATCTTAAAACTTTGAGGTGAGTTTGAAAAGAGATAAAAAATATTAGGAAAAGTTGGAGCACACTAAGGCATATCAAAAAAATATTCAAATTGATTAGTAATGCTTTATAAGATTGAAAATGTGCATTTTCATGTATAATTAATATGATTCGAGAGCTATTGAAAAAGGCACATCATAAATAGTAAAAAGTACATCATAATTTATGGCCCATTGTGGACTAGGCATAACATGTGTCTAGGTCTAATAAGTGATCGAATTACTCTTCATATTTGGCTCAATACTCAGTCCTAGAGCAAGTCCCATGGGCGAGTCATTTATAGTGAATGAGGCAATCTCTTGAGCGAGCTTGTGAGTTGATGAGTTGAGTCTTCTGGATGTGCCGGTGAGTCTATAGTTATAATTCTCAAGTTGTTAGAAGTGAAGGTTGACTTCCTTCCAATTATAATAACCGCGAGCTAAAAGTTAGCCAAGTCCAAAGGATGGAGCCCTTGACTTTCTAATGTGTTCCTTCCGTGAAGTTATGTCGAAGCACTGATGGTGGCTTGCTGATTTGGGCCAATGGTGAGTAACCTCAGGGGGTTATCCCCTTCTAAATAAAGAAATTTTTTTAGAGTATGAAAGGGTATATATGAGTTCCTTCCAACTCCCTCTAGGGACCATTCTTTGACTTGTCTAATTTTGGCGAGTCACGGGCAATGACAGGTAAGTGCTTGGGGTAGATGAGATGACCACTCAATAGAGCTCTTTTGACCATAACTTCATAAGTCTAAATTCTTCTATTATAATAGGCCTACAAATAAAACATATGGATATGTACGAATAGACATTAATTTCTCAATTTGTGTGTCCCATTAAAGGGGAGTTGTGGAAATGATAAGAGTAATTATGAATCATTATTATAATTACCAAATAGTTAAAAAGAGATTAAGGATTAGTTTCTATGATATTACTATTATAGTCTCGGGCATTATACATATTCATCATCATAACTATGATGTGACAACACTCACTCTTCCACTTATAAGTATTGGCTTGAGAGGTGAGAGTTACTATCTTTGATGCCTAGTGAGCTTTAGACTTATTTAAAAAAATGGAGATGGACCCAACTGACTTAGTAAAGTCTAGTTTTAAGCTAGTGAGTAGGATTTTCATTTGCAAGTTTTAGGAGGAAGAAGCAAAAATGTTCTCCAAGTCCTCACCAAGTGATGGTTATTGAGGTGAGTCATCATGATAGGTATAGTTGTTTGCCACTACTCCTCGAAGGTGATGAAAGTGAAACTCGGAGTTGCTCCACCATCTACCATGTTTATAATTAGGGCACTAGACATGAAGGAGGTGCTTGCTAAAATATGAACTCTTGAAAGGTTAGGGAGAGTTGTGCTCTCCTCAAGTTCTGATGATGTCGAATTTACCACTAAGTTGGCAAAGTTTCCTTTGGTTGGATGCATAGCAAAGACATTTGTTTCTAAGGAGGTAATAACTATACCCTAAAATTCATATTATTGGCTAATCATATTACTTAATCATGATCATACAATATGATCAATTCAAATTCTAATAAAATTATCAATTCAATTAAGAGGACACGCTAATTAATTAAATAATTAAATATATCATACTGTATGATAAGTATCATACAATATGTTTAGTTTAGTTTTTGAATGTCATCAAATAGAAAGTTCATAAAGTTGATTTACTATGAGTTATAGTATATCCTAATGTACAATTTATATCATATAATACAAGCATAAGATTAATTTTCAGTAATTAGTTATCCCTTAACTAATCAAGTTGTTTAAATAAATTTGAAAATGTGATCAAACACGATCATACAATATTATCAAATATTTTATTATATGATTATTTCTAGATTTTCTAATAGTTTTATCTTTTGATTGAGTTAATATTTAACTTTTTTATTATGATTGTGTGTTAGTAATTTTAATATCTCCAACACTTTAAAATATAGTAAATTTAAGACTAAAAATAAAAAAATATATTTTACACTTGATGTTTGACCTTGTGGTGGTGGTTGGGTTCATTAAAACAAATTAGGCCACTAGCTTCAGTTGAGTCATAGATGCACATCATTATAACATTTAAACTTGATGCATTATTTTAAACATAACTTTAAGAAATTGAGCTTACCACTCAACTAATCTAAGATAAAATTATTATCACATACCAATTATATTTATAATAATCAAAATCCGAATTATAATCTTAAGCTCAAACACTAAAACACATTGAAAAGAAGCAAAAAAAAATCCCCCCATCATAATTTTGACACCTTATTTATACTTAGCTAAGAAAAACTATCTAACTACTTTGGCAAGCTTAAATCATTGTTTATGCATATTGTGTAACTAACACTATAATTTTGTGATGCTGGTCTTATAACACCATGGCACCAACCTCTATGTCTTTTTTTGGCTCTAGCAATGTTTATGACATTAATTCTCCATGGGAGAAAGCACTACCAAATCGCTACTACACTCATGATTTGGACCTGTAGTACTCCACTATAATTCTTCTTTTTGTGAAACTCCATAATATTGTGGCATTAACACATCGGTGTTGTGATGATATCCTTTCTATTTTTAGGATAATATTCATCCCCTAGTGGGGTTGTGGTGTTGGAATGTCAGCACTAGAATGCTCTGCTAGTTCTTATACTACTTAAATTCTTAGAAAATTTCTTACATAAACAATTAAACATTAATAGTTTTTTACTAAAAAAAAGGGGGAAATTTTGACTCAACATTTTCACCCAAACCTAACTCTTTACATGTCCTCAAGTAATTTGGATGCACATTAATATCTTGCCTTATTTTGTTAGGTTATTATCATTCAAATTTAAGCTCAATAAATAATAATAACTATACAGATTTAAAAATATGAATGAATTATTAATAATAGTATGATTATATGATATAATTAAGATCAATTTTTTAGAGAAGTTACTTTGAAGGTGGATGAAATTTGGACATAGGTCACAAGCTCTATAATTTATCCATATAATGCAAATCTAACTTCTTTAATTAAATATGCCTCTATAGATATTCAAATCCAGTAAACTTGTTCTTGATTTTAAGGGGATGTTATTTAGTATATATTTGAAATATTTGGTGAGGTTTGGATAGGTTTAAGAGTCTAAGTGTGCTCCAGAACATATATAGGTAAGTTCTATATAGATCATATAATGTTAAGGAATTAGTTGTAGTTTCCTATATAATGAGTAAGCTTCAATAATTTCCATTAAAAATGATCAAGAAAACTTCTTATATGTGATTTGGAAGTTTTTATACATTATTATTTTTTGTTGAGTTTTTGTATTTTTTATGATTTTTAGGAGGCTAAAATAATTATAGGACTTAATAACAAATAAAATTGAGAAAAAAGGGCTAACATGTTCTATAGATATTTGGTTAGAATAATTGTAAATAATTTTATGGTTATTGAAGTATGGGATGTGTGTTAATAATATTGAAATTTTTTGTGAAATTTTAGGGAGTTTGGTTAGTTAACTCATAAGAGGAACATGACTAGCCAGTCTATCAAAGGTAGATTTCTTGGTTGGGTCTAGTAGGTAAGATTAGACTTGGAATTAAAGGGGATAATTATGTTGATGATATATATGTCCTTTCTTTTGACAATTGAAACATATTATGTCCTTAGTCTTAAAGGATGATTCTGGTGTACTATTATTAGGTTGGTCACTAGATGAGTAGGGTGTACGTATAGAATTAAACATATCGGTAGAACATGAGAATGATTGAAGGGATTAATTTGGACCTTTAGTTTAAGATGAAGATGTTACCATCTAATAGGTAGAAGTAAATTTAAATAAAAGGCATCTTCTAGGGTTTGAAGGTCATATAACTCAACCTCATATATGATTTCACTTCTAAGGCCAATAGTGAATTTGTTGGTTAATTGACACTCTTGATCTATGAAATTGGTCATAGTAATTAAATCCTAAGATAAGTTCATGTATTCAACTACTTTCATATTACCTTGCCTAAGAGTCATCAACAATTCATGTAACTTTGTATCATGGCTTCTAGGACACTAATTAGACCTTAACAACTCTTTTATCTCAACCCAAGTAAGTTAGTGTCCCCATAACCATTCTTACTTAACTAAAACATTAGTCCAATATATTTTGGCATGGCCTATAAGCTTAACATTATCAAAAGTGGTTCATTGATAGTCATCCATTTGATACATATTTAAGGACTCATCCATTTGGATAAGCTACAAGAAATTTGTTGGGGATCATGGGCTCCACCATGGGTAAGGGCATCTATCGTAACCTTCTTTTAGGGTTCAACTAATGTTTCATGATTCTGACGAGGATTCCTAAAAGGTTTTCTTTAGGTGGTATGTGTTCCCTATGATTCCCTAGTAGTGTTCACCTATTATTTCAATGTTTATAGGGTTTGGTGCAACTAGAGGAGTTTGTACCCTTACACTTAAGTTTTAAATTTATGTGGTTAAGTTCAAAATGAGCTCTTTAAATTTGTAAAAATTTTCATTGATTTAAATGGTTAACTTATTAGTTGTTCTATTGGTAATGTTTGTTTGAGTTTGATTAACTTTGGTGGCATGATGAAATAATGAAAGCTAAACATAACTTTTATA